CTTTACTTTGCAATCTGGTCCTTTGTTGAAGATTTCTTTTTGCGAATCATACTGCTGCCATATCCGATAAGCAAAAATAAACTACAGCAGTATTCAAAATTGATCGCTGCATTTAAGTACTGCATTAAAATTTAAACTCAAGTTCAACGATAATTCTTCTGCCGCCACATAATTTAAAGAAAATTTGATGTACGTAGGTCCTTATTTTCCGTGCAAACAATTATTTTTATTTCATAGGTGACATTCGCTGGATTTCGCATTTCATTTCGATTAATCCCAAATTTATTTCCAAGTTAAAAAAATTGTTATCGTACAAAAAATTAATCGCAAAAAATCACGTAAGAAAATCTCCGAAATCAATCAAAGAGAGGAAATCTTGTGAATCCAAAATTTATGTAACATGACCTATTGAAAGTTAGAGAGTTATGTCCCTTTAATTGAAAAAGTGTGACACAGTGACACACTGACATTCGCATTTATTTTTTATTTACACACACACACACAAACACACACACACACACATATATATATATATATATATATATATATATAATTTTTTCTTTTATGTTTGAACGTCATGGTCGCGCGTGTATTAAAGCGTACAAACTGTTCTTTTTATAGGCATTTTAGAACATTATTACAGTATCCGTAGCTAATTCTATACAGTGTTGGCTTCAATTTTTAAATGACGATTGCTTCGTGGATCTGTAGTTTTAATTTGTTATTTTTTTGGTGCAAGACAGTTGTATTATAAATCGGTTGTATTGTATTTTGTACAATATATGATTAATTTTTTTTTATTGGGATCCGTGTGAGATATATTGATACCAATGAGGTTTTTATCCTGTTTTCTCATCCTGTTTGTAGTTAGCATGCATCTGGTTACAGTATAAGAGTTCGATATAATTGTATATATATACATTGTAACCCGGATATAAGAGAGTTGTCGGGACCGGAGAAGAAGTCCCTTATATCCGGGTTTCTCTTATATCCGGGTCTGGTCTATTTTATATACATTAACACAGGCTCTAATTTGGGACCAGAGAAAATCTCTCTTATATCCGGGTTTCTCTTATATCCGGGTCTCTTATATCCGGGTTACACTGTATATATATATATATATATATATATATATATATATATATATATATATATATACTAATCGGTATCATCTCAAGCAAGGCAGTAAAGCCACTAAAACGCAAGAGGTTACAGAGTGTGGAAAATTAAGCAGTAGACACATTAATGAGCAGGGTCAGAAGAGAGTAATCAGGATAACAGTAGATAGCGATTGACATTGCATTTAATTTTTTAGGTTAATGTTGATTTGAATGCATGGAACCGGAAGGTAGTTCCACAAGCAAGAAGTGCGAGAAAAGAAACTGAACATAGAATTTACGGCTACATGTAGCTAGCTCAACTGTAAGATGAAGAGATCTAAATCTAGTAAAGCGCTTATATTCCTACAGTCTAGGTACCATAACGAAGAGCTCCTCCGAACAATTACCATGAAAGTTTTTATAAAAAATGCACAAAGAGGCAGCCTCACAGCCGAGCCGTCAGATTCTTCTTCCGATCTTATTAAGGAGCTCAAGATAAACAGATATTTATAGGAGAAAAGATGTTTTCTATCTTAAATATACAGTTGTTACTACAATTAACATAACATGATGGATTATGTCTCTTCCTGTTGCCACGCTTTCAAATCAACAGTTTAGGATTTGGCTTCATAAAGCGAGACAAGATCATTTCCTTAATACTTTCTTTATTTGTGCCAGATGAATAAGACCTTTACATAACAATCCCAAAAGTTCTTCTATAATGTTCCATGTAGTGAAAAGTTTTATAACTGAATATCAAAATAATGTTGGTAACTGATATATATATTTATTGTGTTTTGTGTTCAAATAACGATGGACTTTTTTTTAAATCTTTCGTTTTCTTTTGAAAGTAGTGGGGAACTTTTGTAGATAATCTTAGTTGTATCTGTCCATATTTCTGCGATGAGGTATTGTAACTATTTACACTATTCACATTATTCGGGCTGTTGTCCTCATCTTTGTTGTGAAACTAGAACAATCTACCCCGGTGGTCAAAATAAAGAGTTCGGTTCGTAATTCCAATCACCTGAAGAAGTCCGGAACGTATGACGGCTGAAACGTCGTAAGTATGACAGCAAAGATGAGGACAACAGCCCGAACAATATAAATAGTGTAAATAGTTACAATAATTTATCTCAGAAATATAGACAGATCCTGAAGAAGGCCGGATCGTACAACGGCCGAAACGTCGTGAATATGACAACAAAGATGAGGACAACAGTTCGAACAATGGAAATAGTGTAAATAATCGTGTTTGTGCTGAAATGAAATTCTCAAAAATGTTTTCATATATCTTGTTTGCGTCTCGAATTAAATAAATTGGCATTAACAAACTTGTTAAATATTTCAGTGAAATCAATTTTGGAACATAAAGATGTCGGAAACTTCGTATAACTTCTCGTTATAGAATTCTCAGGTTCAACTTTTGAACCAAACTTATAAAGAATTTATAAAAAAAAATAAATAAATAAGTACCAATTAATAAATATAATCTAAATATGTTTTTAAATAAATAAATACTGGGCTATTATTATTATTTTTTAAATATACATAACCTATTTGTTAATCTTGACTCAAAAATACTTAACGGAAATTGTACGCCATTTTGACTGTCCAATACCTATAGATCTGTCTTTTCTATATATGCAAACAATCACTGCTCAAAGCTAATTCAATCAACATAACTTCGGTTACTGCTCTTTGATTGATTGACTGATTTGATTTTTATACAAGCTTTATATTCTGGTTTCTTCTAGAAATGTGTAGAACATTCCCACTACCATCGTGTCACTGAAAACTGAATCTGCTGAATGTTACTGTGATTGATTAATTCATTTTCTACGGTTTATCAACCCTCTGCAGGTTATTTAAAGCCAGAAAATATTTTTTAGATTATAAGAATATATTTTGGTGATAATAATGGTTTACAAGTCTTACTAATTTCTTCTTTTAATTTCTTCTGCTTAATCAGTAGATTGATTGATTGATTCGTTTTCTACGGCTTATCAACCCTTTGCAGGTTATTTAAAGCCAGAAAATATTTTTAGATTATAAGAATATATTTTGGTGATAATAATGGTTTACAAGTCTTACTAATTTCTTCTTTTAATTTCTTCTGCTTAATCAGGAGATTGATTGATTGATTCGTTTTCTACGGCTTATCAACCCTTTGCAGGTTATTTAAAGCCAGAAAATATTTTTTAGATTATAAGAATATATTTTGGTGATAATAATGGTTTACAAGTCTTACTAATTTCTTCTTTTAATTTCTTCTGCTTAATCAGTAGAATGATTGATTGATTCGTTTTTTACGGGTTATCAACCCTTTGCAGGTTATTTAAAGTCAGAAAATATTTTTAGATTGTAAGAATTTATTTTTAAATAATAAGGATTTGCTGGTGCGACTCCTACTAATTAACCCCTAGATGGTGTGGGGGGGGGAGAAGAAATGGATTCATAGGTTTGGGAATATAACGAACCAGACTGAAATTTGAACTCTCCTCTACGATTTCCAATTCCTTGAATTTATCCATTACACTATCTGCACATCCAAGCTTACAGTAACTAGTATTCCCAAGCGGTCACCCACCTTGGTACTGACTAGGCTTGACGTTGCTTAACTGCGAGATCTTATTGATTATATATATATATATATTACACAAAAATACGGAAGTAAATTCAAGAGAACAGAAAATTTAAAAATACATATAGCGTTTTGAAATTATCAGCAGAATTAAAATGTAAAAACGAACGGGAATAATAATTATTCCTGTTCGTTTTTACTTTTTAATTCTGAGAATTTCGGAACGCTGACATGGCTAAAAATGGATTCTCATGCAATTATTACGTATTTTTAATTTCAAAGTATCTTCACAAATACAAATACGATGATAATTCTTTTGCAAAATGTTTGTTTGAATGATACTGAGTCTGTATATATATATTTATTTTGTCGTTAATTATTGTATGTCACAATTCGAAGCATATCTTCTGTAATATGGTAATAGCTTGAGAAAAAAATAAATTAAAAAATATCGGATGATACGTCGCTCTTAGTAGAACGACAAATACGCAGACTCTGAAATTACAGATTGAATCTACGGACTTTTTAGGATCACTCAGACCTTCCAAAAGTATGCACAAAATATTGTTCTTTGGGAACTTTTTCAGTAGACATAATTTTGGTTGTAAATATGTAACATTTATGAGGAATTAACGGTAACAACGAACTATTTTAAATTACAAAATTGTACTTGGATTAAACGAAAATTACTTACAATATAATCCATATTACTTATATTCCTTCTTTCCGTCAATTTTTGACGGCACGGGTACACTAGTATTATTATAATAATTTATCTTTCGATATTGTGCACTAAAATTTCAAAGACTTATTCTACTATGTGTCACGTGACTTCAGAACATGGGCAATCATGGCTCTTTTCAATTTCCTACAGATTGGTGCCCTTAGCAATCTTTCTCCTTTTGCTGAGGTTAGCGCCACTCCCGTTCTGCCATAAATTCACACAAGCCAGTCAGGAAGGTGGATCGCTGCCTTGCCCTACCCCTGTTGTCATCAAAATACCACGTGAGGTTTAAGTTTTCTAAGTCCTCCTTCCTTCTGTCCCTTCAGCTTCCCCTTCCTGATTCCAAGTATAAGTGTATCTTTTTTGTTACTATTTTCTTTATCACTTCTTCTCTCCGTCCATAGAATTCTCAATATCCTTATGTAGAACCACATTTCTGTAGCCTACAATTTTCTCCCCATCCGTAAGGGTGGGGATCCATCATTCACTGTCATATAAAAAGATTGATATTATATAGCATTTCCAGCACTTTTTTCTTTTTGTTTCTAGTGACATTTTTATGTTTCTCTGCACGTTGCTTAGCACAGCTTACCTAAAATATATCTACCAGAAATATCCTGGGTGTGTGTGTTTTTTGTGTGTAGATAGATAGATAGATAGATAGATAGATAGATAGATAGATAGATAGATAGATATGGACAGGCTGAGATAGATAGATAGATAGATAGATAGATAGATAGATAGATAGATAGATAGATAGATAGATGCATATGGACAAGCTGAGATAGATAGATAGATAGATAGATAGATAGATAGATAGATAGATAGATAGATAGATACATATGAACAAGCTGAGATAGATAGATAGATACATACATACATACATACATACATTGTCCATATGACAAGCTGAGAGAGATAGATAGATAGATAGATAGATAGATACATACATACATACATACATACATACATATGAACAAGCTGAGATAGATAGATAGATAGATAGATAGATAGATAGATAGATAGATAGATAGATAGATAGATACATACATACATACATACATATGGACAAGCTGAGATAGATAAATATTAGGTTGGTGCAAAAATAATGACGTGATAATGTCGTTTTTTGACGTATATTTAACGTCAAAAAAGGACATTATTACGTCATTATTTTTTTTTGCACCAACCTAATAGATACATACATACATACATACATGCATACATACATACATATGGACAAGTTGAGATAGATAGATAGATAGATAGATAGATAGATAGATAGATAGATAGATAGATAGATAGATAGATATTTTTCCTCCTCCTCAT